TTTTTCTTTTAAAGATTTTATTTATTCATTTGAGAGAGAGAGCACGAGCCAGGGGGAGGGGCTGTGGGAGAGGGAGAAGCAGATTCCCTGATATGGGGCTTGATCCCAGGATGCTGGGATCAACCTCCGATTGGAAGGCAGATGCTCAACCGACTGAGCCACCCAGGTGCCCCTCTGCTGAAATTTCTATACAATGATGCAAATACCCACTTTTCTAATCTTAATTTATTCCCTCAGTTTCCAAACTTGGGGTACCTCCAGTTGAAAGTGATATTCATATGGTACCTTTCTCACTCAAAGATGTCACTTCTAGCTCAGTAGGGGTGCACGTGATATGCCCACAAATTTGCATGAATCTATACCCAATATGTTGTAACATTTTGTGATTTCTGTAACAGAACCATTCCTAAATTTAAAAATTAATACGTACTGTCTGTGCAGTATGTATTAAACCCTTTCTCGATATTTTGTTATCACCATAATGGCTTATATGACTTATAAGACCCTTTAATTAACAGGGCAGCAACCAGGCAGCTAAGGTTTGGGATGCAATTAGTGGTCAGGAGATCCAGAGAGGCTGCTGGACTCCTCTCGTGGTCCAACATGTGAATAACAATGCGCACCAGAAAGTGTTCTTGTCTCATGCTTTATGCTTTGAAGAGCTCTCAGTACCAGTTTGGGGGCACAATTAGGAATGTGTTTAGTGGCATTTATTAAATGAAACATTGCCCACAGATACTTAAAAGTATCACTAGACTAAATTAATACAAGACAGTCCTGACATCAAATTAAGAAAGTACTTTTTAAAATATGTATATGTCTTGGGGCGCCTGGGTGGCTCAGTCGTTAAGCGTCTGCCTTCAGCTCCGGTCATGATCTCAGGGTCCTGGGATCGAGCCCCACATCGGGCTCCCTGCTCCGCGGGAAGCCTGCTTCTCCCTCTCCCACTCCCCCTGCTTGTGTTCCCTCTCTCGCTGTGTCTCTCTCTGTCAAATAAATAAATAAAATCTTAAAAAAAAAAAAAACACCTTTAAAAAAATAAAAATAAAAAATAAAATAAAATATGTATATATCTTAACCCTCTTTTCTGCTCAGTTTTTACAATCTTACAAATTCAAAGTATTGAATTTCAAATTCCTGCTTACTTATTTCAAAGATTAACACTGTGTGTTCAAAGGATAGATTACCTTTCATTTTCCTTTTTCACGTTTTTCAATCCCCTCTCCGACTGATGGACAGAGCCTCAGTTAGATAGAGAACCTCTGATTTTTGTGATTAATTCTCTAACTCAACTGGTCATCTTGACTCTTTTCTATGTCACTGAGAATTCATAGTATTTGGAAAGATGTTTTAAGAGACACACTGCTAATCTTCCAGGCTTTCATTACCATCTAATATCCTAAATCCCATTGCTTGAGGACAAAATATCTCTAGAATATAGGTATGAAGAGCAGGAAAAATTCCTAAGGATAGGTAGTTGAGATTAGCTCAAATCTCAAAGACAACGATGACGTATAATAACATAGACATACACTGTATGAATAGTAGGTAATTGGTGATAATAGGGAAATAGTAGAGAAGTTGATGGCAGTGATATCGTTAACACTTACAGACCCCTTAATATATTATGTTTAGTAAATCAGCTTAGTCCTGGTACTTAACTCATATTTATGGATTAATTATTTCTTCTAACATTTTTAATAGCCATCAATTACATGTTAAATGATGTTATAGTTTATGCAAATATGTAGTATATATAGTAATATAAAATATGCATTTGAATATGAATTTGAAAACCTCACTAAATTATATTAATTACAGTTAAAATCTAGAAATGATATACAAAATGATGTTAACACTATGCCTGAAATTTCTTTCGCTTTTTATCTTTTATTTAAGTTCCAATTTCTTATGTGAGTTTTAAAATTATCTTTGTGTTAAAAATAGGGGCCACTGAACTCCACTTTCAATATTTATCTTTACAAGTTGGTGGGAAACTCATTTAGAAAAAAATACTTTTCAAGTCCAGAGCTTCAAAGGGTGAAAAGAATGGTTTTTGACTTATTTCAAAGATATTACGATTGTTCCACTATTCTTTAAAAGCCTTTAAAATCACCTGCTCGATGTTTCTTCCCTCAGAGTCTCAGAGAATGAACAAAACAATGTAATCTAGGTTTAAATTTGGGTTTCTCCTGTGCTTCAGATATTTATGTTTGAGCTTTCTCTTACTGACAAGCTACTTAAAGGGTCAGTGTTACTTTGAGGTTTTATCTATGAGATTCGTGTCTTTGGGGCTCATTAAGAACATTGCCAGAGATTACAATGTCAATAGCACCTAATTACTGGACTGTGAGAAAGGTCTTCTTGAGTACATTCGATCTGCCCCAGTGCACTGCACACAATGGGCAGCTCAGATCCCAAATTTTATCACAGTTAAGCAGCAAACAGATTAATAATGTTACTTGGGCTCTCTTGGGATCATTACTACTGCGTAAAAACTGCTTTGAAATTTTGCAGATAGTATCATACCTCGTTTTTTATTCCCTTGTATTAACAAGGATATATCTCTCTGTCTCTCTCTCTTTTTAGCTATTTATCTCTTTTTCTACATTGCATGAGTGACTCCCTGTTGTTCTCTTTAGAATTGTTTGGATTAAAACTTGCAACATAACAAAAAGTCATTTTCAATCTGTTTAGAAAAGATGTATCACCTCATATAACATTGTTTTAAAACCATATTTTATTTTTATTTCACTGTTTTCAAAATACCTACTGCATATTTTGATACTAATGATCAATTCTTTTCTTCTACTTATGTTGGTAGAAAAATAATTACTGAAGAACCAGAGGAGAGACTGGTTCTTTGAAATCACTAGACCAGCGTAATGCTGAGGACATTATGATCCTTGTGCGGTGGGCTAAAAGGTAGGTTTGCAGGCTTTATCGGGGGGACTTGGGGAAAATATGATCAACAGCTCAGGAGGAAATAGGGGTTAGCTAGGCACATAACATATATCTCACGTAATCCTCATCACAAAGCTATGAGGTGGGGTCACCATCCCCATTTTCCACAGCAGAGGAATTTGAGATGATGCCAGTAAGTAAGTGGTTGGAGCTGGGATGGGAACTGAAGTCTGTGGGCCTCCATGGCCTCTCTGCTACATCCCATATTTTCCCCTTGTGGTTAAGAATGGGGCGACATGTCATGCATGAGACTTGGGGCAAGTCAATATAATCGAGTGGTGACAAGCCAGGGCTCTGGGGCCACAGCGTCTGGGCTTGAATCCAGCTGTGTCTCCTGTTCATGGTATAACTCTGGTAGCCTACTAACCCTCTCTGTATCCAACTGTCTCCTCCGTAGACTGGGGGGAAAGCAAGAGCACCAACCACCTACGGTTTTGTGAGGATTAAAGCTAAAAGGTGAAAGGCATTTAGAGTAGCACCTACATCCACTAAATGTTAGCTATACATAAGTTTTAGAAGAATCTTGTAGTGTGAAAGAACAACTCAGGAACCTCTTAGGTTCTTTGATGCAACACTGAGGATCCTGTTAACAGGGAGGCTAAATATTCAGTAAGGACTTAAAATATTAATATTCTATTTACATATTCTAAAAAATGGAACTCAATACAACGGTGACTTTAAAGAGTTCGATTCGGGGTCCATCACCAGATAGGTTACAGTAATCCCCCGTGCTATAGAAAATAATAAATATTTGTCTATAAATCAGGTACATACTAACCATGTGGCTAAATGCCTCTTTAATGATGTATTTGTGAATTAGTGCTTGAAAATACTAATAATGAATTAAACTATTTCCTAGGGGCCTGAAGGGGGCTCTCAAGCATGTGAAGTATCTAAGAAACTTGGGGTGACTTGTTTCATGAAGATGATTTGGTCCTTTGAATGTCTAGTGTGTATCCCATCCAGTAGCCATAACCTGTGTGCTAATGAGATTCACTTACTCCCTGAATTAGCAAATGTGTAATTCACATATTCATTTCTATTCATTAAAAATATTATTTTTATAATATTTAAATTAAATATAAATTTAAAAATAAATAAAATTTATTTCTAGTAAATTTTGGATTAACTGGAATCCACTTAACCAGAAACTGTTGTTCCCTGGATTATTTCCCCCACACTGTCTTCATAGGGAAGAACATGGCATGTCCAAGTTGTATCAGAGATTTAGTAAAAGAAATTTCAAGGTTTCGCCCAGAGGTACTGGGTGCGACCACTGTCACATACATCCTCTCTGCGATGCAGGTTAACATTCAGAGTGATAGCGCTTTGTGGCGGACTACAAGATTCTCGATCATGGAAAAGCATTTACATTTGATTTTATTTAGTAAAGGAAAGGAGGGACTAACGAACTGTAGGAGGATTTTCAGTAGACAGGGTAGAAATAACTATCTTTTGCATTTTCAGTGCTGAGGAAAGGGAGTGATGCTTGTTTCCACTGGGGCTGCCCTGCATTTCAGGTGGCCATCAAGTTTCATTTGTACTACTTCAAATGGACCTTTGAAAAATGTTTTGCTTGGCTGTGGAAAATCAATTCTGGATGCAAAATGCTCCACTGAATCTTTTGGGGTATGGAACGTTGCTGTTAATTAAACTCTCTCATTTAAATGTCAGGCCAACCCCAGGTTCCAAATTCAACCATCTAGATTTTGATGATAAATCATGAGAGTCTCTTCTCCTAATACATTACGGTGTTGCAGAAAAAGCTTCTCTGTTGCATGGAAGCCCAGAAGAAAGGTTTCTCTCTGCTAAAACAGTCTAGTCTTTCAATTAGCAGCAACCAATATTCAGAAATGCATATTAGCATTCTTTGATTCAGCATACCTATGTATTAGTTTTATAAACTGGCTGAAAAAACCCCATGCATTCATCCAGAATTCTAAATGCCTCAGGATAACAAAAAGAAGGAGATGTCAATCTAGACTAAGTACCCATTCTGTGTGTGAACCATTTTTTCCAACAATAAAGATTCTTACCTTTTGATAAAGGGGAGAAAAATATCTGATCACTGACTACATCCATGTCCTTGTCCATCTGCAGGTAAAGCAAAAAGTTTCATTACTGAGGTTGAAGAATAGCAACCAATTAAATGTTTAATAGAAAAAAAATCTACCTACCAAAGGTGTTTGATCACTTCCAGAAGATGTAGAACCTGTTATCAAGTTCATTTTAGACTGCACAAATAAAGGTTTTAATTTCTGAAAGACACAAAAGGAATGTACTTTGTTATCAAGGGGAAGTAGTTATCAAATCAAATGGATAGGAGGTTCTTCAGTTCTTAATTAACCAAGATGTGAAAACTAAGCTCCTGATTTATTTGTTTAAATATGGCTGGGGAAATCCTTTCCTTGAAACCCATGGAATAGACAGACCCTTTCCTTATTTGGGCTACTCTGAGAAAAAATTCAAGAAAAATGTTTTCTTCAATGGCTGTTCTGACTCTACCTTTTTCTTTTCTTCTCACCTTTTCTTTCCTTTTCTTTTCTCTCCTCTCCTTTTAAGTACAGTTGACACACAGTGTTACATTTGTTTCATGTGCATAATTTAGTGATCTGACCAGTTTGCATGGTATGCTATGCTCATCCCAAGTACAGCTACCCTCTGTCCCCTGACTCTTCTTCCTTTTGATAATCTCCACCCCACTGGGGTTTACAACATGTCACTGGCCAGATATCACGGGGTTTGTCCAGCACCTCCTCGCTCCGGGCAACTATGGCAGTAGGGGTCCTCTTTCCCAGGAACTGAATGGTGAAAGCCCAGAAGCATCTCTTCTCGGACTTAAGGAGCCCCAGCATGCAAGCAGAATTGTCCCTAGCATCATTTATTCCCAAGTAAACGACAACAATAAACATGTGTGGGTGAAAAGGACCAAAGGTACACTAAGCGTGTTTATCAGAAAGAGGCCTGAGGTCCACGGATGTACCCTGGTGATGTAGGTGAAGTTTTCCCTCTTCAAGGCTTCTCTTTTGTTGATTTGTGTGTGTGTATTTTTCTATTCTCCATAGCACCCCCCACTCTCTTTTTGTTCCCACCCCAAGGAAACGGTTTAAATATTTTATGCGTATCTTTAATTTGTTTATGTTCTTGCAAAAATACGTACTGTTGTGCATGCCTTTTAATTTACACTAGTGGTGTTATGTGCTATCCTATTTTGTTGATTCTCTAAGGCATAGCCTTCTGGTATTTTAACATCCCCAAAATTGGGATGCATCTTGCAATAGATGGAGTCTCACAGTATAATTGGCAGCACTTTTCTCTTTTAGAGACTTAGAAAGTCTTAGTACACCTTATGTGTTCCCACTTCTCTTGCTAAGTACTAAGTACCTTCACTAGTACTATGTTTTTAAGATCCATCCATTCTGCTATGTATGCCTAAAATCTAGTACTGCCCAGTACATAGCACTGCAGCCATGTATCTGCCTCCTTTTGCCCCTCTCCTCTCCTTTCCAGGCCGCCATGCCACCATCTGTCACCAGCATCACCTCACAGCTTCCTAACCTGCTCCTTTCCCCCCAAGCCCTCCATAGCTGCCAGAGTCATCCCTTTAAAATGTTAACTGAGATTGTCTTATTCCTCTGCTCATTAAATTAAAAAACAATTTTGTAAAACTTCTGTGGAGAAAATTATAAAACTCTACTGAAATCAAACCTAGACAAAAGAAATAGCATGTTTATGGATTAGAAGACTCAGTACTATAAAGATGTCAAGTGTACCCAAACTGATCTAGATTTAATGCACTTCTAATCAAAATCCCAATTGAATTTTTTGTTTTGTTTCTTATGTTTCTGGGTTTTTTTTTTTTCCTGTGCGTATTAACAATCCAATTCTAAACTTTATATGGAAATGCAAAGATCAACACCAGGGTAGGGGTATTTGCCTTATCAGAAAAGACTTATAATAAAGGTAGAGATATTAAATTAGTGTCATATTAGTACAAGAATAGACAAACGGAACAGTAGAACAGAATAGAGTGATAGAAACAGATTATTACATATGTGAACCCTTAATATAATATATATAACTGGTGGGATTAGGTATCCAGGGAGAAAATGGACTTTTTAATAAATGGTGCTGGTTCAGTTGATTTTCTGTATTAAAAGAAAATGCCATCAGACATCTGCCTTTCTATACACTATCAATTCTAGGTGTGTTAAGCTTCTAAATATGAAAGGGAAAGGGGAAAAAATTAAAGATCATAAAGAATATATTTGTGACTAAAGGTTAGGTAAGGTCTTAAACAAGGCAGGAAAATGTGAAGGCAAAAAGGAAAATATTATTAATTAAATTAGCATCAGAATTAAGAACACTTATTTGTGAAAAGATACAAAAATACCATCCAAAACAGGAAGAAGACATTTGCAACACATATAACTGACAAAGGATTAGTTTCCAAATTATATAAAGAATTCCTTAAAAATTTTTTTGTTCATAAAAAACTTCTTCCTTTCCAATTTGTTTGCCTTTTATTTCTTTTTCTTACCTATTGCTTTGGCTAGGTACTTCCAATACTATGTTGAATAAAATGACAAGAGTGGACATCCTTGTCTTGTTCCTGATCTTAAAGAAAAAGCTTTCAGCTTTTCACCATTGAGTATGTTAGCTGTGGGCTTGTCATATATGCCTTTTATTATGTTGAGGTACATTCCCTCTATGCTTGCTTTGTTGAGAGTTTTTATCAAAAGTGGTTGTTGATTTTCTTCAGAAAATGGAATGCTTTTTCTGCATGTATTGAATGATCATATGAATTTTATCCTTGTGATGTATCACACTGATTGATTTGAAGATGTCAAACCATCCTTGCATCCCTGGCATAAATCCCACTGATCATGGTGAATGATCCTTTTAATTACTGAATTTGGTTTGCTAATATTTTGCTGAGAATTTTTGCATGTATGTTCATTATGGATATTTGGCCTGTAATTTTCTTTTTTTGTGGTATCCTTGTCTGATTTGGTATAGGAGTAATGCTGGCCTCAAAATGTGTTTGGAAGATTTCCTCCTCTTGTATTTTTTGGAAGAGTCTGGGAAGTATTAGTATTGATTCTTCCTGGAATGTTTGGTAGAATTTACCAGTGAAGCCATCTGGTCCTGGACTTTTTTGTTGTTGTTGGGAGGCTTTTGATTACTGATTTAATATCCTTTCTAGTGATCATTCGTTTTTTTTCTAAGATTTTATTTATTTATCTGACAGAGAGAGACACAGCGAGAGAGGGAACACAAGCAGAGGGAGTGGGAGAGGGAGAAGCAGGCTTCCCATGGAGCGGGGAGCCTGATGTGGGGCTCGATCCCAGGACCCTGGGATCAAGACCCAAGCCGAAGGCATACGCTTAATGACTGAGTCACTCAGGTGCCCCAGCTAGTGATCATTCTGTTCAGATTTTCATTTCATAATGATTCAGTGTTGACAGGTTACGTATTTTTAGGAATTTATCTAATTCTTATAGTATTTCTTTTTTTTTTTTTTTAAGATTTTATTTATTTGACAGAGAGAGACACAGCAAGAGAGGGAACACAAGCAGGGGGAGTGGGAGAGGGAGAAGCAGGCTTCCTGCTGAGCAGGGAGCCCGATGCGGGGCTCGATCCCAGGACTCTGGGATCATGACCTGAGCCGAAGGCAGACGCTTAACGACTGAGCCACCCAGGTGCCCCTAATTCTTATAGTATTTCTATGAATAAATAAGTGTAAGACAACTCAGTAGACAGAAAAGGCTTAAACTTGAAGCACTAACTCAAAGAGAAAACCTGAATGGCTAATAAACATACGAAAAGATGATCACATTTATTAGTAGAGAAATGAGGAAAAAAGTTACAAACACACACACACACGCACACACCCCCAAACCACAAGAAGAAACCATTACACAATCACGAGACAGACAAAAATTATAGTCTGACAATATCAGTGGTAGAGACAGCAAGGAGCAGTAGAAACTTTCATGCATTCTTGGTTAGAGTGTTAATTAGTAATAATAATTTGGAAAACGATCTGGCTTTACCTTATATAGCAGAAATTGTTTATCATCCCTCAATATCTAGTCTCCCTTTTTCTTTTGGTAACATTTTCATTGGGTATTTGGCCACCCAGTTTTCTCAGTCTTTTGCAGTTTGATCAGACCAGTGGGATATGAGTGGAAGTGATGTATGCCATTTTGGGGTCATATACTTAAGTACTAACATGCTTGCCCTGGACTTCCGCCTTCTGCAGCGTACACCCACAGACATGGAGTTAACCGGCTTTCTTGGTGTGGATGGGGGAAATGGCAGAGCAATGATGAAGGAACCTGTGTGTCATCAGTACTGTGGAGTACTGCTCACTCCCCTGCCTGGAGCTGCTCTTTTCATCACTGACCTGAGAGAGAAGTAATCTTCAATCTTATATAAGGGAGCATATTTTTGTCATAGCAATCATATTCTTCCATAGACTTGAACATACCAATACTTTATGACCAGAAGTTCTATTATTACTATAAAACCTGGAACAACTGGGTAACCTGGGTTGCTCAGTTGGTTAAGCATCCCACTCTTGATTTCAGCTCAAGTCATGATCTCAGTGTCCTGAGATCAAGCCCTGCATCAGGCTCCACACAGAGTGTGGAGCCTGCTTAGGATTCTCTCTCTCCTTCTGCCCCTCCCCACCTGCTTGCACTCTCTCTCTCATCTCTAAAAACAAACAAACAAAACAAAACAAAAACCTGGAAAAACTGCTACATATGTGTATCAGACGAAACTAAAAGAATGTTCGGGGCAATGATGTTCATAATAGCAGAACAGTGAGATCTAACCCAAATGTTGATCAGCATAAGTTGTGGTATATTCAAGCAATAGAATACTCTCGGTGGGTGAACTACAACCACAAGCATCAACATGGATGAGTCTTAAAAGCATAATGTTGAGAAAATGGAACAAATCACCGAAGGATACTTACATTTTTTTTCACTTATATTCTTTCATTTATAGAAAGTTGAAAAACAGGCAAAAGCCAATGATATATTGCTTCGGGAGAGAGGCGCAAGTGACAAAAACTATCAAGAAGAACATCAGAACAGTGGTCTCTGGCAGGTAAGAGAGAGGAGTGCAATAGGTGGGCTTCTGTAATTTTATTGTATTTATGGCTTGGATCCTGGGTACACAGGTATTCATGTGATCATCATTCTTTAAGTTGAACATATGGATTCTCACTCATTCTTTTTGTGCACATGGTTATTTCACAGAAAAAAAAAAAAAGAAACCAAAAAAGTCAGAGTAGAGACAAAAGGGATTCTTTCATACTGAGCCTTGATACCACATT